TGTTGCTTGCAACAATAGAAATCCTGATAATTTTTACTTGTAAATAATGTGCATAATAATGAAACTTTTGTATTTTTAACCCCGACAAAACACTATCTATCAAGGCTTGATGCATAAAACACTTACTTATGCCTACTAAGTTCATTAGAACTGTGGGGTACCATACTCAGTAAGTGGATGCTTTAGCTTTATGAAAGTATAACCAATTTCCCCGGGGTACTACAAATTAACCCCGGGGGTATCGACTTGAAAATTTAAAAAAAATTCTGTTCCCCAACCTATTTTTAGCAACCATTAAAAATTTCATCACAATAGCTCAAAGGGAACTGTGTTTGCTTAGGATTTTCTTTGAATGTTGCTGTGATTTCCTTCAATTTTTACTGTACTTTTAAAGCCCTTTTTCTCAAAACATTATAGGCCAGTTTAGGGAATTACACTTTAAAATAGCATAACTTTATGGTTATAATTGTCCGATTGAAATCATTGACACCCAATTATAAAGCAAATGATGTGCTCTATTCAGTTACATTAAAAACACATTTTTGATAGAGAACGAGTTTACAGCCCTTCTGTGGTCTTGGGTGTACCGTACTAAAAGTTCCGTCTCGGATCATCCACGCTACACAAAGTAAATATCAATCACAATGTGTCAGTATCCGGGAAGATTGTTTACACGGAATAGCCTATGACGTTTTTGCACTAAAGAAATACCAGTGAAATACATTAGTGCTTTATGAATAGTCGATGCTTGAGAGAGTTAAAACTGAGCTATATTTGATTTCCATTCTTTCAATATTAAATTTTATACTGTGTTTGATCGTCAGCGAGAAAAAACCCTCAGAATTTGATATTGTTTCGGCTGGCAAGATGAGACACATACCAACAAGTTTTGGATTTATGGTTTTTATTTTTGGCTGTTTAACATTATTGATTAAAACTCTATCAGGAAATATGATTGTCTATCCTACTACTGAATTCGAACGTGGACGTGAAGTAAGTCTGAGAGAAGTAATTCAGAGAAAACGGCCAGATATCAATGTAGAATGCGTCTATGAGAACGCAACGGTTGGATATGTAGTTTATACATTCAACAATACGATAAATAATCGATATGTAATGAAAAATTATAACCCTCTATTTGAAGTGAGCGGTAATGAAGTTATTGTAAAAGATGGCCTAGATTATGAGACTTCGCCAGAAGAAACAGTGACGGTTGTGTACTGGAATTCAAATGCACCAAGTAAGGACTGGCTACCATTTAAGTAGGCCCACTGTATTCCTTAAAGTTATACACTCGTTCCATGTTTCATTTAGGCCCTATAGATACGCTATAAAATTAAAACCGTAGGCCTATCATTTGGAACAATCGTGCTGTTGTAACCTAAGCCTAGGCCTAATGCCTTTCGCTTTCTATGGCAGCATTATTCATTCTCTTTTCACGATCCAATAAAATATTCCACTATACAGCTCTGTGCTGCTGTGTATACGGGTGATCCAGAGTTTAGGTGCTGTGAATGCAGCTTAGTGATTTGTTTTTGGTCTTAAGAAATACTCCTGTGAGCATGATAAGTTTCGTGACAGGAATACACCATCCGCCGTGTCAATCAAACTTAACTGACTAATCAGAAAAGCGCTAGGAACACGCGCGCGTCTCAAACGCACGTGTCCTCGTATGTTACTCGTCTTGTGGGGACCTCAGCAACAATATCCAAGGTGCGAGGCTTATAAAGGTAAGGTCCATTAACCCAAAACCCTAATATGGAAGGCAGCATCTTAACCACCAGCAGTACGTAGCATACACATTTTGAACTTGAGCATAGTAATTATTGAATTAAATAATTGTGTACCCTGATTATTGTACTGGACAATGATAACAAATCAGTGATAAAATATAATAATAATAACAACAACAATAATAATAATATTAATAATAATTAATAATAACAATAACAATAACAATAACAATAACAATAACAATAACAATAACAATAATAATAATAATAATAATAATAATAATGAAACACTTCCAGACTCGAATGACTAGAATGTTTCTATCACTTTTCAATGTAAAATAATTATGGGTAAGCATTTGTATACACATTAATTTCTATGTTGAAATAATTGATAACTTTTATGTTACTTCAAAATCATTTTAACGGGGTTTTCGTTAGTATTTTGCATTAGAAAATACATCGTTAGAAGTCGAATATATATTCCAAGTTATGGCCTATTGTAATTGTTCAATAATTCAAGAATTCAAAAATGAAAATTACAGATTTTCTTTATAAACTGGACTTAACCAACTGAATGTGACATGTATTCTATGCATGCTATCAACCTAACAATGTTGAATCAACTGTGAATCAGTAAACAAGAGTACAGTAATATGTGTTTTTACATGTAACTTTGACCTTCCAAACGCAAATACTATTACGTTAATTTTCCACTATTTCTCGTTTCCTCATTGTCATTGTCAATGGCCGTATTCGACTGGTCGTTCTTCGTTAAACCACGCCCACTTGCGCAGTGGTAAAATCCTGCTTAACGAAGACGACCATTCGAATAACTCGACGAAACAAAATGGCTGCATAGTTACCGCGATACACACTGCGTAATCAAGGCTGCTTCGGATTATTGTGGCAGTATGGTTTTTTCGTAAAAAAATGTTTTCATCCAATTTTTAAATTCTGTTAGCCTACAATTATTTTTTTACTTCAATGTGGGTAAATATATTATTATAATTTTTATTTTCTGAAATTTAATCTAAATTATATTAACGCAAATGTTGTTGCTAAACTGACCAATCAGTCAATTTCTTTGGTCAAGTGCATAACTTAACGCTGATTGACGCATTCTGGTTACGTTAATTTTCATTGTCAACGAAGCCTAACCCTGATTTTACGAACCAGTCGAATGAAAATAATACTCAACGAAAATTCGTACTCAACGAAATGAACCAGTCGAATAAGCACTTTGTCATTATCATTATCACCTCCGCCAAGGAGGTTATCTGATGTCTCTCTGTTAGCACGATTACGCAAAAACAAGGTATGGATCATCATAAAATTTTGTGAAATGGCACATAATAATTTAAGAAGAGATGATTAACTTTTCCGCCGGACCGATTTTGGCTTTAAAATTACCTGCCAAATGTAGTCCACATAAGCCAAAATCGGTCCGACGTCTATTTGTTATAACTTGTATTTTTATAACGTCAAATAATAGATAATATCTTATCTCTCATTATATAATAGGCCCATGTTTTCATTCGTTATGAATGTGTGAAATCATAGGTGAAAATAAAGCTTCGCACCCAGTAAACCCTTTGGTGTAAAGTACGAAAAGAAGTTAAACGAGGTGGTCTTAAATCGTTGCCTCTTTGCATCTGGCCGGGTGGCGCTATATAGACATTGATGAAGCCCGTAGCCAGGGGGGTTCGTTGGGTTCGAACGAACCCCCCTTTTCATGAAGTGCCCTTTCAACAAAGGCTGGCTAGCCTGCACTTTAGGCCTAGCCTAGAGC